TGAATTTGTTTTAATTCTTTTTTTTTTTTGCAATTTTGAACTTACAAGGCCATAACCTTCGATAACTACTGTTTTATGCCCAGTACATCGTCTAATATCGTAAATTTAAAATTAACGATGATTGGAATTGTTATCTAATAATATCAACATTATGAAAAACAAACTTTTAACGAGAAAGAAATTAAATAAAAAAAAAAAACAATTTATGAATTAACTTAATACATATAATTTGAAAAATGCAAAAATGAAAATCGTGCAAATATTGTGCTTTCTATTTTAACAATATCAATTAATATTAGGTTGTTTAATTAATTAATTTAAATCTGTAAACGTATCATAGTTCAATGACATACCTCTCTTACTATCATTAGAATTAGAAATAATTATTCGAAATAACCCTTCTTTTTTTTTCTTTTTTTTTTCTGTTTCTATAAATTACATCTCAAATTCGATGTATTTTCAAACTGGACCGAAAGATACAGTGCATGTCAATGACTGTTAACATATATGAATGATATAGTAAAGATAACAGGGTGGATAATTGTGTTACAACAAAATAATGCCGGAGGATAGGAATGAGAAATTATACCAACCAATCTTATCATTATGTCTTCCTCTACTCTCTCCAAAACTTCAAATCATTTTATTATTATAGAACATTATTGAAGAAGAAACTAATTAATAATTAATCTATGTATATATGTATTGATTAATTTATTAAAATTTATATATATTTGCATATATCCTAAATTATCAATTATTATATGATATATTTCTAAATATATCTATGTATATAGAAATAAAGATAAGTATATCAGGGATTATCAATATCTTATAACTATAAATTTTATTGTCATCTTGATGACCATAATCGCCATCGCAATTGTAAATGGACAATTGACATCGCTGTTGTGAACGAACTATCGCCATCGTTGTTACTATCGTTGTCGCCAAATGCATCGTTATTGCTGTCGCCTAACATTATTGCCATGGTTATCGTCATCGATGCTGTCGTCTGAATAGCGAGCTCTCATTGGCAAGTTAACGGGCAACTTTTTGAGCGAGGTTATCTCGTTTGTCTTGTGAATTTCGTACATGCTACAACGGTCAATATTGTTGGTACAATTTAAATTGTTACAGTTAGCCGATGATTATTGTTGTAACGTTATTCCTAGACTTATTGATCGTTAACATATTAAATTACGAATATCCCGGGATATATGCTTATCCGTTGAATCATCCTGAAAATGATTGGATATCGGTTCATCGTCATTTGAATGCACCAGATATTATTCATTTTACTAAATGCTCATCACCAATAACAATATGCTCAACAATTCCCGATTCATCAATTGTTCCTAATCAAGATCTTGGAACAATTACACGACAACAATGTTCATGTCAATGTAAACCAGATGCTGCAGCATTTTTACCTTCTACTCGAAGTTGTATCAATAAACTTGGTAAATTTTCATAATTTTATCATCCTATTTTACATTTCACATAACCTAATTTTTACATTGATTCAATGATTCTTTCGACATTTATTGTTTGATACATTTATTGCACATTTGATGTTTTGATGTCATTATTCTCATTAATTTCTTAAAAATTTATCCAAAAAAAATTGTTAAATTTTCGAAATATTTACAGAGTTGATTAAAACTTAGAAACAAGTTCATGAAAAAATTGAAAATAAAAAATAATGTAGAAGTGAACACGTATTATTTATTTGAGTTTATTGCTATAATAATTAATTACCACCAATAAATAATATCCCATTATGAATATTTGTGCATTTTTTTTTAATGCACTTT